GCAGATGCTTAACCAAGGGAGCCACCCAAGTGCCCCCAACCTAGAAGTCCTTAACCCAGCAAAAATATCTTTCAAAAACAAAGACAAAATAATGATGTTTTCAGATATACAAAAGCCGAAGGAACTTATCGCCAGCAGACGATAAGTTGTCGCCAAAGAAAGGTTAAAGGAAACCTGCAAGCAAAATGAAAATGACATCCCACAGCAATATGGGCCTATACACATAAATAGCAAACATTGAAAATAACAACTATGTGGGTAAATCTGGAAGATTTTTTCTCGTTATGTCTCTTTTTTTTTTATACAAGTCTCTTTAGAAGGTAATTTGAAAAAAAATAGTTGAGTGTTTGTTTAAACAAAACTACTAACAATGTATGGTGGAGTTTATAACACACGTGAAACTAAACTGTATGACAACAATAACATAAAGGCCAGGAGGGAACAAATGGAAATATATTATTCTAAGGTTCTTTTATCTTTTACCCTATGCGAAATGACACCCATCATAAGTTGAAGCTGTACAGTATAAGCTATAAAGCAGAGGTCAGCAAACTTTTTCTGTAAATGGCCAGATAAAGATTTTACGCTTTGTGGATTCTAGTGTCTCTTTTACCTACTCAGCTCTCCTGTTATGGTTGATATAAAAGCAGCCACCAGCTATATGTAAATGAATGAGCAAAGCAGTATTCCAGCAGAACTTCATCTGTGGGGTCTGAAATGTGACTCTCATAATAATTTTCACTTGCCACAAAATAGTCTTTTGATTTTTTTCGACCGTTTAAAAATGTAAATACCATTCATAGCTTACAGCCATACAAAAGCAGATGGCTGGCTAGATTTTTCCTGGAGGCCAGTTTGCCAACCACTTAATCAACAGAAGTGTTAAAGCTAATAAACCAGGGACTTTTGGCTGGCTCAGTCAGTAGAGCGTGCGACTCTTGATCTTTGGGTTATGAGCTCGAGCCCCATGTTAGGTGCAGAGATTACTTAAAAACACCTTAAGGGGCGCCTGGGTAGCTTAGTTAAGTGTCTGACTCTTGATTTTGGATCAGGTCATGATCTCAGGGTTGTGAGATCATGCCCTGCATGGGATTCCATACTGGGAGTCGGCTTGAGATTCTCTCTCCCTTTCCCACTGACCCTCCCCCACAAAATAAAAAAATTTAAAAATAAAATCTTTAAATACATAAAGCTAATGAACCAACAAAATAATACAATGGGGGATCCCTGGGTGGTTCAGTGGTTTAGTGCCTGCCTTCAGCCCAGGGCGTGATCCTGGAGTCCCCGGATCGAGTCCCACGTCGGGCTCCCTGCATGGAGCCAGCTTCTCCCTCTGCCTATGTCTCTGCCTCTCTCTCTCTCTCTCTCTCTCTCTCTCTCTCTCTCTCTCCGTGTCTCTCATGAATAAATAAATAAAATCTTTAAAAAAAAAAGAATACAACGGGACAAAGTTTACAGGTTCCAAAAGAAGGCAGAAAAAGAAGAAAAGGTAAACAAAGGAGACATGTTAAGTAGAAAATTAGCAAAAGGATGATAAACATAACTGTATCAATAACTAAATGTAAATGGTCTAAACATTCCAGTTAAAAGGCAGAAATTGTCAGACTGAACAAAAAAGTAAAACCCAACTATATATGCTCCCTACAAGTAATACCCTTTAAATATAAGTATTAAAAGATAGGTTAAAATAAAAGGGTGGAAAAAGATATACCGTGCTAACACCAGTCAGTCAAAAGAAAGCAGGAGTGAGTTGTGTTTTTTTAAGATTTTATTTATTTATTCATGACAGACTCACAGAGAGAGAGAGAGAGAGGCAGAGACACAGGCAGAGGGAGACGCACACTCCATGCAGGGAACCTGATGTGGGACTCGATCCCGGATCTCCAGGATCATGCCCTGGCTGAAGGCAGTGCTAAACCGCTGGGCCACCGGGGCTGCCCAGGAGTATATTAATATCATACTAGACTTTAGAGCAAGAAATATTACCAAGTATCGAGAAGGTTATTTTGTAATGATTAAGAGGTCAACTAAGCAAAAGAACATAATAATTCTACATATCCGTGCCCTAATAACAGAGCATCAAATTACACAAAGCAAAACCTGATAGAACAAGAGACAAATGACTCTTGGACAAATGACCACAATGACTGCTGGAGATTTCAATGCCCCCTCCTCAATAATTGATAGAACAAGGAGACAGAAACCATTAGTAAGGATATATAAAACGATAAACCAATAGGACCGCTAATTGACTTTTAGAGAACCCTACACCCAACAACAGCAGAATATTCACTCTTTCCAAGTGCACGCATAATGTGTGGCACCATAAAACAATTCTCAATAAATTTACGAGGATCCAAGTCATACAAAGTATGTTCTCAGTCTACAAGGGAATTAAATTAAAAATCAATAAAAGAGAGACATTTGGAAAACTTTCCAAATATCTGGAAACTAAATAACATATTTCTTTTCTTTAAAAGATTTATTTAGGGGCATCAGGGTGGCACAGTGGGTTGGATGACCAACTCTTGGTTTCAGCTCAGGCCCTGATCTCACACCCTGCATTAGGCTCCCAACAGAGCCTGCTTGGGTTTCTCTCTCCCTCTCCCTCTGCCCCCTACCCCTGCATTAGGCTCCCAACAGAGCCTGCTTGGGTTTCTCTCTCCCTCTCCCTCTGCCCCCTACCCCTGCATTAGGCTCCCAACAGAGCCTGCTTGGGTTTCTCTCTCCCTCTCCCTCTGCCCCCTACCCCTTTTTAAAAGATTTATTTATTTATTTTAGAGAGAGTATAAGCAGGAAGGGCAGAGGGAGAGGGAGAGAGAATTCCAAGCAGATGCCACACTGAGCACAGAGCCCAACGGGGAGGCTCATCCCAGGATCCTGAGAACACAACCTGAGCTCAACCAACTGAGCCACCCAGGCGCCCCTAAATAACATATTTTTAAATAATCCACTGGCCAAAGAAGAAATCAAAAGGGAAATTACAAAGTATCTTGAATTAAATGAACATGAAAACACAACATATCAGAATTTGTGAGAGACTGCTAAAGTACTGCTGTGGGAGATTTATAGCATGAAACACCAATATTAGAGAAGAAAGGTCTCAAATGAATGATCTCAGCTGCCGCCTTAAGAAACTTTAAAAAAGAGAGAGAGAAAGAAAGAAAAAAAAATTAGACCCAAAGTAAGCAGAAGAGGGCAATAATGAAAATCAAAACAGAGATCAATGAAATAGAAAGCAAAAAACCAATAAAGAAAACTAATGAGGGATCCCTGGGTGGTGCAGTGGTTTGGCGCCTGCCTTTGGCCCAGGGCGTGATCCTGGAGACCCGGGATCGAATCCCACGTCGGGCTCCCGGTGCATGGAACCTGCTTCTCCCTCTGCCTATGTCTCTGCCTCTCTCTCTCTCTCACTGTGTGCCTATCATAAATAAATAAAAAAAAATTTAAAAAAAAAAAAAGAAAGAAAACTAATGAAACCTCAGCAGGGGCTTTGGAAAGAACAATATTTCCTGCACGCCTCTTATGGGTCAAGCCCTGTTTAGTCACCATGACTGGATGAGTAGACACAAATACACAAAAAAACCCCAGGACAATCCCTCACGGCCCTTTACGACTCTGGTTCCTTCTGCCTGGAGAGTTCTCCCCCAGATACTCTACGGGCCTCGTCTTCCTGCTTTATTTTTCCCCCAAAGAACTTACTACCTTCAGATACACCATTTTTCTGCCTTTCCTTTAAACTGTTTTTCGTTTTTCTTTGTTTCTTCTTTTCCTTTCTCTTCTTTCTCACTTTGCGTCTTAGTTTCTTTTGTTCCTTCTCTCTCCTCTTTCCCTCCCTCCCTTCCTTCCTGTCTTTCTGTCAGCCTGTCTGTCCTTTTGTCTGTCTACATACGCACCTTAGAATGTAAACTCCACAAGAGCGGAAATTTTTGTCTGTTTTCCTCACTGCTTTATCGCAGCACCTAAACCAGTGCCTGGAACGTGGTGGTGTTCAACAAATACTTAACAGGCATCAATCCCTGCTATCATGGAGCTTACGTTTTCCCTTTGGATGTAAGATCTGAAGATCGGTGCTCAGAAGGTAGAATCTTAAGAGTCAAGGTCATGTATTAATTTTGGAAATCTAAGTTCAAGGCGCATCCATCAGGAGGCTAAGGATCAAGGATCCTATTTGGAGGCAGGAGGTGAGGAGGAGCCTGTCTGGACCACAACTCTAACAAAGGTCTCCGGACTTGGGTCCGGAAGATCAAACCCAGTTTGGGGATCAATGGATAGGGATGTGGAGCAATATGAAGCAGAGCTCAAGAAAGGAAAGTCGGAGAAATTAAGGAGTTAGGGTCAAAGTTGGCTAGGAAATTGGTTTTACTAAAGGTTAGGAGTTAGAAATCAGAAAGTCGAGCATCAGAAGTTAGATTTAAGAGTGAAAGGTTAGGGAGCCGGGATAGGAGACTAATAGGGAATCAGAGGTGGGATCCTAGGGCCCCGTTAGGCAGCCTAAGGTTCACTCACGTGTCCCCATCCTCAGTGACGTAGCCAAAGACCAGGGGCGCCCACGACAACCCCGGGCCCAGCTCGGCGCCCAGCCCCGGTCCTCCGGGGGCTGCTGCGTCGGGGCCCAGAGAGCCCAGGCCGCTGTCGCACCATTCGTCGGCCTCCGCAGCTTTCCCCAAGCACGCGACCCCGGCCATGGCCCCCGAAGCCTCAGGGGCCCCAGCGGTCGCCCGCCTGTAGCTGGCTTTGCCTGAAGCCCCTGCGCTTCCGCCCTGCGGGGAATTCCCCAACACTCCCCCTTGGCTCACCCAATCAGAATGACCTAAAGAGCACACGCCCCGCCCCCTTACCACACAGTGACCATTCAGAGTATTCAGACGGACTGCGGCTCTCTACCCATTCCCACAGTTTCCGGCCGCCCTTGACCAACATGGCTGCCTGCGCGGAGCCCTCTGGGACTCGTAGTCCAGCCGTCCGTGTCTTCCTAGCCCGAGAGCGGCAGGCGCCGCTGTACGAAGAGCCGGTATGCATCCTCGATGACTGCTGGGAGTCGTAGTTCTCTGCCCTGTCTCTGCCCCTCCTGTTTCCGGTGCCGTCACGGGACAGAGCAGTCGGTGACAGCCCCGAGGGCCCCCGCCCCGCGCCCATGGCCGAGCCGGACCGTGAGTCGGGGGCCCCGGTGGGAGGGTCGGGTCGCACCGGGGCCTGGCTGAGGGCTGCAGGCCCCGGGGCCCGAGGACCGGCGTGGTGGGGCTGGAGACGGGGGCTGCATGGCGGGCAGTGGGAATCGGGGCGGGGGTGGGGGGTCGTTGCTAAGTGATCCATCTTGCCAGGCTGGTGGGTTTCTGGGTCGCGAGATTGTAAGGGTCCGTTTGCTACGTCCCCCAAGTTACTAATGACCGCGTGTTTCTCGCACCTCGGTTGCTGAGGACCCTCGTTGCTAAGGACTTAGGTTGCCGCGGCCCCGGTTGCTAAGGGTACCTGGTTGTTAGGGGGAACTGTAGGATGCTCGGGGACCCCTGGCGCCCCCTCCTGTCTCGTCCCTCTAGTTCCTGTGCCCCTCCTAAACGTGCTGTCCCCACTGCACCTCCTTTCCTAAACCTGTCTCTGCTAAGAGTATTTTATTTCCTCTCTTCATTTTTTAAACTTCCCTCTGTTTGTAAACCCTAACCCTCCCTGCACACGCACGTGCTCACACACACACTCACTACTGTTTACTTCCTCACTTCTAAGTCTTCCTCCCTGCCTGTATGCTTTACTTTCTCCTCCCTCTCCCTCTCCCAAACCTTCCTGCCCCAGCCTCTGTCTGTCACTAACCACTTCTCCAGACAGCACTGTCTATCCTGGTAAGATCTGCTTTTCCCCATCCCCTCCCTCCCTCTGCTCAGCTTTTACCACCACCTCCCACCCCAGTATAATTAGGTTGGTGGGTCTTCTTGCCCCCTGCCCCTCTGCTTTGAAGCCCTTCATCCCCACTTAACTGTGCCCCCCACTGTAACCACGTCTGCTCCCCCTCCTCCCCCAGCCTCTGACCCTCTGGAGACCCAGGCAGGGAAGGTGCAGGAGGCTCAGGTGAGATTTGGGGAAGGGTGGAGGGAAGGAGAGAAATGGACGTGTTCCCACACCCCACACTCTGGGGGGGTGGAGGTGGCAGAGGGGAGACGGTTACCCCAGGGCCCTCAGGGCATCACCCCAGCCCCTTGCCCCCACTCCTGGTTCGGCCCCCTGGGAATGGTGGATTCCGGGGACTGGCAGAAAAAGCTGTGCACCCTCAACTCCAGACCTGCCCTCCCTGACTTTTCTGTTTCCTTGCTCCCTACCCTTAACCTTTCTGAACCTCATTTATGCTGGGCATGGAAGAGACAGGCATCCAAGCTGGTCCTTGAACACCCAGATCCCACGGACAAGTGACTAGAAATGACCCTCCAGGGTGATTATGAAAGTAGCTCAAGGCAGAGTAAACTTTGTGAGGGTCAACAGTTTCCAGCCGGTCCATTCCCAGGGCAAATCCACAGGCCGGTCCAGGAGCCAGACTGAGGTACAGACACATGACAGTAAGTGAAGAGTGACTTAGAATTTTCTTAGGCACAGTGAGAAATGGTGCTCCACGCAGAGTGTACAGCTTGTACCAGGACTGGGAGGGGGGCACGAAGGGTGTGATGTGGTCAGTGGTCTGGTAGCTGTGGGTGGTTAGCTAATTATATTTGAGGTTAGCATTTATTGAGCCGGGTACTCCACCCAGTGCTCTGTGTACATCATAGCATTTCACCTTCCCAGAATCCCTGGGGGGGGGGGCAGTGCAAGGCCTACTGGGGCCATTTCACAGATGAGGAATCTGCAGCAGAGCTGTTCTGTAACTTGTCCTCTGGCCCCCCAGCTAGAAGAGCAGGGACTGCTTTGCAACCCACGGCACCCAGCACGTTGCCTTCCAGACGCTTCAGGAAGAGGTAGCCAGGCCACCTCACGAAGACTTGAAGGCCCCAACCAGCACCTCCAGCTCCCCCTTAGGCCCAAGTCGCTCCCACATGCTGGGCAGGGCCCTCGAGTCCTTCCACAGAGACTCACTGTCTGCAGCCTGAAAGAATGCCAACCCCCCACAGACGCGAGCTCGCCGTTCAGATGTAGGGCACACAGAAGCTGTGATGAAGGCACCTGACAGATGCACAGAGGGCCACACTGAGGGTCTGAAAGCTTCCTGTCAGGCCAGGGCTTCTCCCTCGCCTGGCTCCTGGGGCTCAACCGCTGTCACAGAAAGTTTTAATGTTAAAAAGGGATCCTCAGTCCCAGCAAGAGAGATCCGAGGATATAAATTGCAGCATTGTCTGCGATGGGGCAACCCTGGAAACAGCCCAAGTGGCTGTCAGTAGGCGGGTTAAATGAACTATGGCTCATCCCTACAATCCAACACTATGTAGCTTTTTTAAAGAATGAGGTGGATCTATGGTATATTGTTCTGCGGAAGATGCAAGGTGCAGCATTGTACTGTGGCATGACCCATTTCTGGAAAAATAACCAGTTTTATATGCAGAGAAAAAAATCTAGAGTAATTACCACTGTACTGTTAATAGTGGTTATGGTGACTGCGGTGGGAACGGGAGGCGTGTGCCTCAAGTCATACATCGTCTAGTGGTCAAAGCTTTCGCAAAGTTTATAGAAAATTTTAAATACATTTGCAAGGGCGGTTCCTGTTCAAAAAAGACTTGAAAAAAAAAAGGAAAAAAAAAAGGCTTGAAGCCGGAGCGGAGAATGATGGGGGATGGGGTCGGTGGAAGGGTTTTAATCAGGGGAGTGCGTTGGTCAGAATTGTGATTTTGTGAGGTCCGTGGCAGGGCCCAGCCCTGGTGTAGCGCACAGCAAGTATCCATTCGATCAGTGGTGGATAGTTCTGGAGCTCCTGCCAGGGGCCAGACCCCATTCTCGGTGCTGGGCATCCACTGGTGAACATGAAAAATCCCTGCCATCCTGGAGCTGACATCTGGGCGGACTCCATACATGTTGATGATCGGATGGTCAGACTGGAGAAGCCAGCGAGAGGGGTGCTTGGGGCGGAGGGGGTGGGCTGACACAGCCAGGCCATCACCTGGAGGGCAGTAGAGTCAATCAGAGGTAGGGACTGAGGCTGGGAGCTTAGGGAGGAGGCCAAGACCGGGCCCCCAGAGAGAGGACAGGCTGGGCCAGGGAGAGCCTTAGGGAGGGGACCCATGATGGTGGGAGGGCAGGAGAGGGAGACAAAGACTGGGGGACAGAAGCCACACTGAGTTGGGGGCTGGGAGGAGGCACAGGTTTAGGAGAGATGCCAAGGCCAGTCTGAGATGTGGTGGGAGAGAGAGGCCAGGGGTCACTTAGGGGGAGGCATCCAGGGGGCTGTGGGAACCTCGGATCTGGGGACTAAGAGGTGGCATGATCAGTGCCTAGGCCAAGACCTTGGGCACAGATGAGGCAGCTAGCCCTCGAAAGGTGGAGTGAGGACAGAGGGAGGGCCCAGGACCGTCTCAGACCTGCCATCTGGGAGCCTGACTCAGGAGAAGTTAGATAATGACATGGAGGAGATGGCAAGGCGGTGCCCGGGGCTTCCAGCAGGAGGGCTGAGGACCCCAGGGTGAGGACTGAGGCCTTTCCACTGGCATCATTCACAGGAGTGACTTTGGTGAGGAGGGCAGCGGGCCCACGCCACGGGGGACAAGCAGGGAGGCAAGGCGAGGACGTGGACACCGGGCCATGTCTGCACGCACTTCCTGAGCTCTTACCCCACCGGGTGCTGCCCTGAGCGCCTCCGTGGGTTGACTCGGTTCATCTCAGCCCCTCAGGCTGTGCCCTTGCCTCTGAGCTCCATTTCCCAGATGAGGAGCATCAGACTCAGAGCAGCAAAAAACTTACGCTCCTCAGGAGTCGCAGGACCAGGTTTCCAACCCAGGCAGCCCAACCCAGAGCCAACACACACTGGCTCCCCCACCGCCTCTCACTTCCTTGGACCCACTCCCAGCCAGAGCCAAACCCGGGTGCCACCCTCCCTTCTCCTCCTTCCCTAACCCCGCTTCTGGGGCCTGGTCACCCCACCCCCACCTCTTCCAGGACTCAGATTCAGATACTGAGGGAGGAGCCGCTGGCAGAGAAGCAGAGAGTAAGTATCCTCCTTGGGAGAGGGGTTCTGGGGGAGCGGTTTAGGGCAAGGATATAGTTGTTACCTGTCACCTCCACTGTGGTTGATATTCAAAGTATGCAATACTAGGTGCAATGCCAGCGCCTAGAGGTCCCTGGTTGCGGGAGGGTGGGGGATCCCAGGGCTGGGGCAGGGGGCACTCGCGGCCCCTGTGCACCATGACTGAACACCCACCCTGATGTTCTTTCTCTGCTTTTTGGCCAGTGGACTTCCTGCGGAATTTCTTCTCCCAGACACTGGGCCTGGGCACCCAGAAGGAGCGTCTGCTGGACGACCTCACCCTGGAGGGGGTGACCCGCTACATGCAGAGCGAACGCTGTAAGTCACGGCCCTGCTTCGTGCCACTTTCCCCGCTCCTGGCCCCAAGTGGCTTCTCAGCCACCACCACCTGACCCATCACACCTTTTGCTTCCAAGTAACAAGCCCAACTCAAAAATAGCTTATGCCCAAAAAGGAGTATCGATCCTGTAACTGAAATCCAGCATTAAGCATGGCTGGATTCAGAGGCTTCCACATTGTCGAAAATCTTAACCTTGTCTGGCGCTGCTTTCTGTGTTGAGGTGGAGGGGGCTCCTGGCAGTGCCGAATGCCAGTTCCACCAGCCGAGCACCTCCTTCCAGTGGTTCAAGCAAAAGAGCCAAGATTGGTTCCAGTTGGGCCAGGTTGCGTCACACTCCTACCTTAAACCAATCACCGGGTTTCTGCTTGGCCGGACCCGGGTCACACTCCCATTGCTGACTGGCCAGGCCTGCTGGACAGAATGAAGCCAATACCAGTAGTAATCACCCCATGGGACTCTTAGGGGTGCCACCCGTGATTATAAACGTAAATGCCCCAAAAAAGGCCCGGAGCAGAGCAAGAGCCACATGCCCTGCGACGACTATCACAGGAAGCGTGTTTCAGGGGTGGGATGTAGGTGCCTCTCCACTAGGTCACCACGTCATTTCTATTTCTTGCTGCAAGTTGAGGTCATCAGAGTCTGAGAAACCGGGCCTCGGCAGTCCTTAACTAGAACAATCGACCCTTTGAGGGTCCTGAACGGCCTTTTGTTGAGGACGTCTTCTCCCGTTTCCCTGTCCTCCAGCTGCTGCCGGCTCCCTGCTCAGGCGTCCAGGCTTGCTGCCCTGAGCCCCCCTCTCCCGTGCCAGGCCAGGCAGCCATCTGCAGACATCTCCTCCCCTAAGAGGACACAGGCAGTGGCCACAAAGCTCTTGTTCCTTCTGTCCTCCTGCACTTGGGTTTGGGAGCAGTTTGGGGGCAGTTGGTTAACAGGAGTTAACTGAGCCCTCACCATTTGCCAGGCTCCAGGCTAAGCACTGGATAGGCATCCTCTCCTTTGATCTTCACACTGTTCCTTTGAGGTCATTATAGGAATGATCTGGACAGAGGAAGGAGTGGAGGCACAGAGAGGTTGTGAGTTGCTGCTGGGTCACACAGCTGTCAGGATTACACCCCCCCAATCTCCCCTATATCCAGAGCATGCTCCCTCCCACATGGCCCCTGCTAGGTCCAGCTGGGCCTGGTCCGATGGCATCCTTAAGACAAAGCCAAGGCCTTCATCACCCTTGCTGTCCTCTTCACACAGGACACCCCAGAGGCACCCGGTTCAGGGACCCCACACTTGCGCCTGTCCATCAGCTGACGGGCAGATGCCAGCGTACCGCGTGGCAGGCCTGCCCGCCAGCAGCTGACGAGGCAACAGGGCTATTTCTGCACAGCCCCGTGTGTTTGTGAAATGATTCGACTCCTACCACACCTTCCCATCTTTTTTTCTGAAAGCCAGGGGAAAATGGGGGAACGAAATGCTTCTACGCGTACAAACCCTGGGTGTCAAGAAGTACAATTGGCTCAAAGAATAATAGCAGACACACAAATAGTGTGTGCTCAGTGCCAGGTACTGATCTAAGCTTCACGCGAATGAATTCATTCTCTCGACAGCCCCGTGAAGGCGGTACTGTAATTGTGCCCATCTTACAGAGCAGGAAGCTGAAGCCCCGAGGGGAGATCTGAGCTAAGACCCCAGTCCCCCCCATTACCCCCCACTGGTGAGCAGGAGAGCCAGCATCTAAAGCCCCCTTATCTACCTGCTTGCTGTTCATCGGGTGAGGGCCGAGAATGGCAAATCTTTAGTCTTCACCTGGAAATTCTCAGACTCCTGGTGGCTGCTGTGTGTTTGATCATAGAGGAAAGGAATATGCTAAAGGAACATGCTAGAAATAGATGGTCATTCAAGATTGTGTCCAAAAGGGCACCTGGGTGGCTCAGCAGTTAAGCATCTGCCCTTGGCTCAGGGCGTGATCCCGGGGTCCTGGGATCGAGTCCTGCAATGGGCTCCCCAAGGGGAGCCTGCTTCTCCTTCTGCCTGTGTCTCTGCCTCTCTCTGTGTGTCTCTCATGAATAAATAAATGAATTTTTTTTATTTTTTTTAATAAATTAATTTTTTAAAAAAAGATTGTGTCTGAAAGGTGTGGCGAGGCCACAGATTTTTACAATAACCTGTAGCTCTTCCAGGGTTGGGGTACCCCCTCCCCCAGTCCTCTCACCAAGAGCACCAAGTGTTTTTGTCTAGATCTAGTTAGGAGGAGAAACTACTCTCCAAGTGGTCTTTTCTCGAATCTGTCCATGTTGGTATAATTTGAAACGGGGGATTCCTCATCCCCACGCTGGCTCTTCCACCAGTGGATTGTGCCTCTACCTGAGCCTCAGTTTCCTCATCTGTAAAATGACGGTGTTAACACCACCCGCCTCAAGATACTGGGGAAGACCTTTCATGCATCTGAAACGTCGGCCGTGGGGCCTGGCACTGAGTCAGGGGTGTCAGGGGCTGTGATGGGAGGCATTAACTTGGGCCTGAGCGTACGGTCATGTGACGCCTACCCTCCTCTTCTCCAGGTCGCCGGGTCATCTGTTTGGTGGGAGCTGGGATCTCCACGTGTAAGTGCCAGCCCTCCCCCCACCAGATGCCCCCACATTGGGGGGCCCTCTTCCAGGGACTGGAGGGAGCTGTGCCTGGGCCCTTGACAGGGGGTTTGAGGGGCTATCGATGGGGCCAAGGCCGCTGACCCATCGCTCCCCACCTCTGTCCCCTCCCGCCCCCACCAGCTGCCGGCATCCCTGACTTCCGCTCCCCATCCACGGGCCTCTACGCCAACCTAGAGAAGTACCACCTTCCCTACCCAGAGGCCATCTTTGAGATTGGCTACTTCAAGGTACGTGCCCCCCAGGCCCGGATGTCTAATGGTGGGGGCCACAGGTTCACCTGGCTCTGAGTGCCCACCTGCCCTCCGGTTCTCTCTCCCACAGAAACACCCAGAACCTTTCTTTGCTCTCGCCAAGGAACTCTATCCTGGCCAGTTCAAGGTGAGCTCTTTTTTGCCCAGGTGATGGGAAAGCCCTCCTTTCCCATTTTGTGACCTGGCACCTCAGTGTTCCCGTCTGTGAAATGGGGATAGGGATGCTCCCAAGGCCAACAGGATGGTTCTGTGACATAAAACAACAACGTGGCGACATGTGGCAAACGTGCCCCATCATGCTCAGCATTGTCCTGCTTGCTCCCCTCCAGCCAACTGTGTGTCACTACTTCATCCGGCTGCTGAAGGAGAAGGGGCTGCTGCTGCGATGCTACACACAGGTAGGCGGCCGTGGACATCCCCGGGAGGAGCAGGGCTGGCCGCAGGTGTCCTGGCCCCTTGGGGCCCAAGGGCCCGGGCTGCTGATTCCTCACCATGTGACCCACAGTGAGCCCCTTACCCAGCTCAGCCTCAATTTCCCCTTCTGGAAAGCAGAGACCAGAACAGCTTTGCCCTTTGGTACATAGTGACATGGCAGTGAGCTCCTCCCGGGGCCATCCTGTGGAAAGTGAGAAAGGGCCTCACGTTGGAGAGGCCACCGCTGGCGAGGTGGGTTTCATGTTTGGTGAGGGTTTGCAGCAGACAGGCACAGAGTCAGTGGGTCTAACGAAATCAGGACACTGTGACCATGTTCCCACCGGTAGATATGGTCTTAAGGAAGGGGCATCTTTTGATAATTTGCACAAAGGCCTGATATGGGCCATGGGCCATGGCTCATCTATGTCAGGTGCTGAGCCAAGGGCCTTGTCCCGGGCTCTCCGGCAAGAATGGCTCACATTGTTGGCTTCTGGACTAATCAGTAAGATATTTTCGGGGACTCGCACCGAAACTAACTGTAAACAGTGCGCCTCTACCTTTGTTTTATGAATCATGTGTTTTGTGAACAAGCACTGAAATTATATAGTGGGGACGATGACAGCAATGCTGATCCCTCGGGGGTGCCCGGGTGGCTCAGTCGGTGGAGCATCCGACCCTTGATTTCAGCTCAGGTCATGGTCTCGGGGTTGTGGGATAGAGACCCGCATCAGGCTCCACACTCAGCAGAGAGTCTGCTTAAGATTCTCTCTCTCCATCAGCCTCCCCTCTTTGTGCTCATTTTCTCTCAATAAATAAATTAAATAAATAAATAAATAAATAAATAAATAAATAATCTTTTTTAAAAATGATACCTTAGAACCCAAAATTATAAAAGACAGGGAATCCTTGGATATAAATGGGCGTTCTAATATTTTCTTCCTGCACCTGGCAATTTGGAGCCTGCCAGCCTGGGAAGCTGCCACCAGGGGGAGGATGAATTTGTTTTAAGTCCCAGATTTCTCAAACCGGAACAGGAGCTCCTGCCCAGGGCTTGCAGTGGTGGTGGCCTGGGCAGGGACAGCCTCTCCTTCCAGGAGGACCCCCACTCAGGATAAACCTGATCTTTCTCCCCAGAGTCCGTTTTATCCACGTGGCTCAGACATGGTACAAACAGCTCACTCCAAGCCGAGGGCCCCCTGTGCACGATTTCATGACCTCAGCCCCACGGCCCTGTGTTGTCATCTTCCGTCATGAGTGTTTACTGAGCGCAAACCCCATGCCAGGCCCTGCTGGCAGCAACATCCCTGCCCTCCTAGAGCTGATAGTCTAATGAGGGGAGAGAGACAATGGACAAGACGGGGTTGGTAGCACGTCCAGTGTGCCACGATGTCTGTGGAGCACCATTAAGTGGGAAAGGGGAACTGGAAGTGCTGGGGTGGGGTTGGGGGTGCCATTGTCAACAGGTATCAGAGAAGGCCTCACGGAGAAGGGGACATTTAGACAAAGACCTGTAGGAAGGGAAGGAGGGTGACACGGAATCATCTGGCTGGGAGAGTGTGTTCCAAGCAAAGGGAACAGCCAGGGCAAAGGCCCTGAGGTGAGACTATTTGGCGTGTTCGAGAAGCTGGATCCGGGTGAGCAGAGAGGAGAGCAGGAGAGAATAGAGGAGGCGAGCTCAAGGAGGGGGACAGGGGCTGATCTTGTGGGATCCTGGGGCCACAGGAAGGGCTGAGTGAGATAGAGCCACGGGAGGGCTCTATGTGGGGTGGGACAGGGTGACCTGAGCCAGGCATCCCTCTCTGGCTGCAAGTAGGGGGCTGATGGGGAGGGCGGGGTGAGGAAGGGGATGCTGTGATGTCCAAGTAGAAGAGGCTGGAGGCAGGGGCCAATGAGGGGAGAAGTGTGCGGGTCATGAATCTGCTTCAAAGGTGGAGCCATGTGAGGCCGAAGCCTCCGCCCCAGCACAGAAGCACACCGACGGCGGGCTACCTTCTCGTGAAATCCAGCATCAGTGCACTCTGGGGGCCGTGGGAAAGGTGCAGGCGTCTGTCCCCTCCCGGCAATAATTAATGCATGCATTTAGCTACCCATACGTCATCAAAACGTATGTTTTGAGGCCTATTACAGAAAACAGAGGCAAAAGTGGAAAAAAAGTTCCACTCCCATGTTTCAAGAAACCATTTTGTTGTTTTGTTTTGTTTTGTTTTTTCAAACTTGTCACCCTCTCCGTCAACCTCAGCCACTTTTTGAGTCACTGACCCAGTTTTCTGGAACACACTGTCTTCACTTCTTTCCGAATTGTGATGATGTGGCACTTCTGAAGCTATGTACGATAGCTATTTTTATCTCCAGATACAAGTCTCCATTCAAACATGAGAACAGTTGCCCTGTTCGTTCAAGCCCCTGTGATCTCCACAGCAAAGCAGCTTATCGTCCTTTTAAATATCTGCATGGCCTTTACCCGACACATAGGGCTTTCTCTCACTTAACTTCCTGTGTGGAAGACCCTTCCATATCCACACCCACATAGCAGCTTCCTGCTTGCTCTTTTCTTTTCTTTCTTTCTTCCTTTTTTAGGATTTTTTAAAAATATTTTATTCATTTATTAATGAGAGACACACAAAGAGAGAGGCAGAGACACAGACAGAGGGAGAAGCAGGCTCCATGCAGGGAGCCTGATGTGGGCCTCGATCCTGGGTCCCCAGGATCCCACCCCAGGCCAAAGGCAGCGCTAAACCGCTGAGCCACCTGGGCTGCCCAGGATTTTATTTTTAAGTAATCTCTCCACCCAACGTGGGACTTGAACTCACAACTCCAATATCCAAGAATCGCACAGTGAACCAGCCAGGCGCCCCCGACTTCATGCTTTTTCAAAGCTGCCATTGCCTTCGTGTCCATCAGGGGGACACAGTGTTTTAAAACAAAAAGGGAGCCAAGGTTTAAAAAACGAGATTTCAGATGAAAATCCAGACTTCAGGCTCCTCTTGCAGATTGAGAAGAGCTGGCTACACCCCACCCTGCCCCGCCTGAGGTCCTCCAGAGTCAGGGAGCGCTGGGCTGGAGCTGGGGGGCCACTGCCCACTGTCACCATGCCCTGCTTCTTGCCACACACCCCAGCCACATGTCACTTGCCGTTTACCATCATGTGCTCATGACCCTTTGTCCTTTAGGGGGAGGCTTCCTGGGGCCATACTCCCCAGCCCCCAGCCTCTCTCCCCTAGCTGGCTTCTCATATCACGGGCGCCTGAGTGGCTCTGTCTGTTAAGCTCCTGCCTTCAGCTCAGGTCATGTTCCCAGGGTCTTCGGATTGAGTCCCACATGGGGCTCCCTGCTCAGTGGGGAACCTGCTACTCCCTCTGCCTGCTGCTCCCCCTGCTCGTGCACACTCTCTCTCTTTCTCTTTCTCTCTTTCTCTTTCTCTCAAATAAATAAATAAAATCTTTCCAAAAAATATTCTATACATAGGGAAACAAGTACACACGTCCGTGTATAGTTTTCCCACAGCCCTTGTTCTCCTGAGCCTTTTAACCTCTTGGAGGGATCTTCAACATCAGGACACACAGGTCAGCCTTGTTCTTTTCCAATTTGTGGTTTCTTTATCAAAAGTGGCCTCAGACCAACAGAGGCATCTGAGTAGTTCTCGTACATGCTGTACAATTATTTGCACGCACACTGCTTACTCATGTGTGAGGGAGTCAGTAGACTGAGTCAAGTCACAAAGGCAAAAACTAAAGCAGGGGGAGGGGGACGGGGGAGAGCTGCAGGGAGTGTGGGAACAGTGGCTCTTGTCTGCCCGTGGGGGAACAAGCTGATCGCTGGCAGGGAGCAGAGAGAGCAGTGGGGGCCGTCTGCCCTTGAGAGAGAACCCTTTCGGTTGTTCACGGAGTCTCGGGGGAACCGTGCCGGGGCGGCTGGGGGCTGCATGTGACCGGCCATCTCTGGGTGGCATGTGCCCATGTGCCCCGTCAGCACCTGCCTCTGCAGCATTCCTCACGGGCCAGCCAAAGCTGCTCCCGAGGGGCTGCGTGCTTTAAGAAAAATGAGAGCGCTCATATGTCTATATGGAAGAGAAGAACAGCCTGGCTGGTTGAAGGAGGGATATACCTGCGTCTGAAAAGAATGCGATTACTGTGCCATCTCTGAAACAGACCGTAGTAAGAAACCCTACTGCTAATTAGGAAAACAGTGATTAAAACCAAATAAACCCTCCCGATTCACTTATTTCTGTTAATGCTTGGCCAGGCCTGCCGTATCCAGCTGCGCGGGTTGGCTACTGCACAAGGATGCCACACCTGAGGGGGCTCTATCTACAGCAGAGACATTGCAGGGCTTGTTCATGAAGGCCAACAAATTTCTGGCAGGTGGCACTAACGTCGTGTGGTCCTAACAAAACAAATTTTCTGAAAAATGGAAACAAAGTGGCCCGATAATGCGGAAAACCTCCATATGGGCTGATGGTGGCCGTGGGCCTGGGCTCACAGATGTATGAGCGTGGGCCCCGCCGTTAAGCATCTGTGACTTTTACGCTTCGGTGGCACCATGAGAATGAGCGGAGGGCTTTACGGGCACACCCTGCCCCTCGCTTCTCCCTCGCTTCCTTCTCCCTCCGTCCCATTTGCTTCTCTTCGCAGCGCCCTGCTCCTGCCCCTGTGGGGCGCGGCTCGCTGCTGAGCCTTTCCCCCCACCTCTCCCCGCAGAACATAGACACCCTGGAGCGGGTGGCCGGGCTGGAGCCTGAGGACCTGGTGGAGGCCCATGGCACCTTCTACACCTCGCACTGTATCAGCCCCCTGTGCCGACGGGAGTACCCGCTCAGCTGGATGAAAGGTGAGGCCCCGGAGGTCATCCACGAGGGCGGGCCTCCTGCCTCCCGTCGGCTCCCCGGCGCCAAGATCAGGGGCTCCACGCTGTGGGCTCCAGTGGTGTCCTTGCTCTGTGGCTCCCCCGAGATCTGAGGCAGCAGCAGGGTCTGCAGCAGGCTCCCAGCACCACCTCACAGCCGGGTTATTAGGGGAGCAAGATCCAGACCCAATTCAGCCGCACGCAGAGATGTGTGTTGGCAGAGAGGTTGCCGGACAGCCATGTGGTCTGTTCTGTGGGGTCTGAGGCCCCGGCCCTTTGTCCTTTGAGGGGCTCTGATCTTACCATACAAGAGGGGCCCACTGAGGGAGACACAACTGCACTCTAATCCGTACCTGCCCAGTATTGCAGCCGCTGCCACATGTGGCTCTGGAGCGCTCACAGATGTCACTACCGTGACCGGAGGACTGAATGTTTCATTTTCCGTCATTTTTATTAAAAAGTTAAAAGCCACATGTAGCTGGACATGCACCATACTGGATAGGACGGGGCTGGAGGCCCCGGATCCAATGGCCCATTAGTCAGATGCAGGCAAGCATGTTCCGTGGAGCGTGGAGCTGGACGCAGGCCTGGTTAGGGACAAAGGCGGGGGGGGGGGGACTGTCCCGAGGGGTCCAGACAACAGGGCTTGTCAAAGTCAGCGTCCCTGTCCATGGAAGGGCAGAGTGTCCAGAAAAGGGGGGAACTGTTCCTCCGGCCCACATTTCTCGAATGCCATTGAGAGCCTTTGTCTGACATCCATTGTGCTGCCGAGAAGCCACACATTTCACCCATGGAAAGCCATTTCTGACATTCTTTATGCTGGTTTCACAAAGCCTCTGGTGTTCATGTGAGACAGAGACAGCTGCAGCATTTGTGGTGGGGCCTCTGGAGCGGGGCCTTTCTGCCAAAACGCCAGCTGACCGCCGCTGGGGTGAGGCTTCCAGAATAGCTCAAGTGCGCGCAGCTGGGGGTAATGGACAAGGAACACGACCCCATTGTGTGTCACTTACAGCAAGAGTGTGTGCATCCCCCGCAAAATATCATGCTGTCCGTGCTGAAATAGTCTAAAGTGAATCGCAGACATTAAAATGGGGCTCTTTAAATACCTGTGGAAGGAAGGAAGGAAGAAGGAAGGAAGGGGAAGGGGAAGGGGAAGGGAAGGGAAGGGAAGGGAAGGGAAGGGAGGGAAGGGAGGGAGGGAGGGAGGGAGGGAGGGAGGGAGGGAGGGAGGAGGAAGGAACAGTTGAACAAATGAGCTAGGATTCTGTGGGGTGCAAGTGACAGCATGTTTCAAGCTTCCTTCCTTAATAAGCAATCAGGAGCATGATTGTCATAAGGATGGTGGTGTGTGTGGGGGGGTGTCTGTCCCAGAACCCAAGGATGGTGGGCAGCTGGGCCTAAGGATGTGTCCCCATCCCAGGATTGTCTGCAGTTTCTTCCCTCTCTGTCTGGGGCTGGCCTGGGGCTCACCAGGCCTCTCACCCAGGATAAAATAGAACTGCCCCCAAAGACCCCTGGGGGAGCTTTATTGCCCACGTTGGGGGGTTGGGGGTGGGATCCAGTTACCCCTGTAAAGGGCAAGCATCTGCTCATTCATCTGTCCTTGTGTTTATTCATTAAATCAATAGACGTGACCTGGTGCTCGGAGCCCCCCATGCCCTCCACCCCGGAACCCGGGGCAATGGGCAGGGGGGGAGGTAAGGGGCAGCTCTCTAAGGAGGGAGGGCCTTCGTGAGCAGGGCACACCCCCAGGAGGTCCCCCCAGCGACCGAGGTGTGTGCGTGGACTGTGAGGGCTGGCTGCAGCCGCAGACCCTAGCCCAGAGTCGCTTACCTCCTCTCCCTTCCTCTTCCCCACGCCCAGAGAAGATCTTCTCCGAGGTGACTCCCAAGTGTGAGAAATGTCACAGCGTGGTGAAGCCTGGTGAGCCTCGGGGCCAGGGAGCAGCCTGGATGGACTTGGGCTGGGACCCCCGGCCCTCCACGAGCCCCTGACCGGTGCCCCGAATCTGTCCCCGGGAGAATAGGTCCTATAGACCCTCACCTGCGCCCGCTACTCTGTAGCTCCCACCCCAGCCCCTCGGGTCAGCCTTCTGCTGTCACCTGTTCTCTCTCTTATTCTCTCTCTCTCTCTGACCCTGTCTCTGCCTCCCGATTCACCTTCTCTTTCTGTCTCTGTGTCTGTCCGTCTGTCTGCCTAGACATCGTGTTCTTCGGCGAGAACCTCCCAGCAAGGTTCTTCTCCTGCATGCAGTCAGTAAGTGCCCCCCCCAGGTAGGGGAGGGGTAGCGAGCTGCAGGGCAGGGGTGTGGGGAGAGGCAGCCTGGCCCCTGCTGAGCCTCTGGGACCTTCACTGACCACCCCCCCTCCCCAGGACTTCCTGAAGGTGGACCTCCTCATCATCATGGGTACCTCCCTGCAAGTGCAGCCCTTTGCTTCCCTCATCAGCAAGTAGGTTGGGTTGGGATTGGGGGGTGCTGCTGGGGCCAGGGGTGGGGGTGGCCAGGACAGACCCTTACCACTGAGCTCCCCATCCCCCAGGGCGCCCCTCTCTACCCCGCGCCTGCTCATCAACAAGGAGAAGACTGGGCAGGTGAGTTGGCTTTTATGTGAGCCCTCCTCTGTCCTCTCTTCCTCCTCCTCCTCTCGGGGGTCCCACATTCCCTTTCACTGGCTTCCTCAGAAACTGAGACCCCTCAGCTCAGAACTAGGTGCTCTAGAACCTGGAGGGGTCAGATTCCAGGCCACCTGGACTCTGATTCTACAGGCCCCGGGGTCCCTCTGGCCCCTTCTGAGCAAGTGAAGTAACTCAAAGCAGCTTAAGCCAGAACAGGACCGCTGGGCTTTGGGTAAGTGAGGAGTCAGGGTGAGCAGGCCCCAGGGCCCACAGCACAGCGTGAGGAGACGCCCACTCCCACTTTCGGCTCTTTTCCTGAGGTGGCCTCCCTCCCTCATCCCTCATCCCTGGGGAGGGAGGGGTGGTTCCTTGAACAGCCAAACACTTCATGTGCCAGCCACTGTTCTAAGCATTGTCTGGTTTGATTTGTTTTATTTTATTTTGTATTTTTTAATTTTAAGTAGGCCCTATGCCCAACATGGGGCTCAAACTCACGACCCTGAGATGAAGAGTCACATGCTCTGCTGACTGAGCCTGCCAGGCGCCCCGTAAGCGCTTTCTAAGTATTAACCCGCTGACAGGACAATGCCAGGAGTGGCTGGTAATCGCCCCCACTCTACAGATAAGGAAACTGAGGTTTGGAGAGGCCAGGTCACTGAGTGAAGTCACAGAGCAGGGAGCAGCCCCAGGCCACCTGGCTCCAGGCTCTGTGCTCTGAGCTTCCCTCTCCCCCACAGACTGACCCTTTCTTGGGGATGATGATGGGCCTTGGAGGAGGCATGGACTTCGACTCCAAGAAGGCCTACAGGTGAGTCCTGGGCCTGCGAGGGTCACAGCCGAGGTGGGAGGGAGGGCATGAAGGCACGCGGACTGGGAAGAGTGGGCGGGGGCCTGGGACAAGCTGAGAGCTCTGACTCTCCCACCCACAGGGACGTGGCCTGGCTGGGTGACTGTGACCAGGGCTGCCTGGCCCTTGCCGACCTCCTCGGATGGAAGGTAAGGAGTCTAGGCGACCCCGGCCCACCCGGAGCCTGTCCCCAAACCCCTGCCCCACAGGTCCTGTGATCCCATGATGCACAGTGACCTCTGACTTCTATGAACTTTGCCCCCTGCAGAAAGAACTGGAGGACCTTGTCCGGAAGGAGCATGCCCGCATAGACGCCCAGGCAGGGTCAGGGGCCCCCAACCCCAGCACTTCAACTTCAGCTTCTCCCAGCAAGTCTCCACCTCCTGCCAAGGAGGAGGCCAGGACCAAGGAGGGAGAGAAACCCCAATGACAGCTGCCTCTCCCGGGCAGGACGCCCAGTTCCTTTGGGACAGCAGAGCCCCAGCCAGCCCTGGCCCCCTCTAACTTGCAGCTCTTGTCTGGGGAGCTCAGAACATCTCCCCAGTCTCTTAACCACTCCCGCTCAAAACTGGGGCCCCAGCCCCCTGACCCTGGTGAACCTCTAACATCACCCAGGGGCCGAGGCCTGGGCAGCCCATCTGTAACAGCCCACGCGGTCTCTAACCACCCGCGGGGACGGGGTCAACCTCCCCTAATCTCTAACTGCTCCTGAGGCCAGGGCTGCCTCTAAACACCTAACTGTTCTGGACAGGGGCCCCAAGGGCTCCCCAGGGCTCCCCAGAGCCCCCTGGGCTCTCTACTGCTCCTAGGGCAGCCTGTGGCCAAGTAGACCAAGTCTACCCTGGGTGGAGTGTGGACCCTCCAAACGTAACACACTCTGGGGGCAGCTGAGCCTGAAGGCCTCCCAAGTCTGTGCCTCCCACCACCAAAGTGGGTGCTGGGCCACTTCCCTGGGGACCCACTTCCTCCGTGGGGAGGGGGCAGATAACGTTGCTTATTGGATACAAAATAAAAGTGAAAACAACTAACAATCAGTTGTCTGGCGTCCCTGTTCCTTTCCGTGGGCACCCAGGGACGCAGAACACCTCCAGGCTCTCATGGGGAACAGCAGGGGGGTAGACAGGGGGCCCCAGGGGCTGCGAGAAAGCCTCGGGGCTCTTAGCCCTGGACTCCCAGACTACCAGAGTCCCCTCCCTCAGAGCCCCTTCACCTAAGGCCGGAGCCCCGAAAAGGAGAGGAAGGTTGATTTCAGATCCCCCCAGCCCCGCCTCTTCCCCCGCCCGCCGGCTTCCTCTCTCTCTGGTGAGGAACACTTTCACTTCCTGCTACTCCAGGCCTCCCCTCGGAGAACAGGTAGGGGTCCCCCGGGACCTAGCCGCTGGCAGCATCACCCCCCACAGCCTGTCTTTGGTGTCGGGCTTCGGCACCCATCCCGCCCTGCCCAGCACCGCCTGCCGCCCCCTCCACCACCTCCGGTGGGACCCAGGAGAGCATCTGCCTCCCGCCCCACCCTTCCCGCCTGCTCTCCCCTGGACGGGCACCTGCCCTTCCTAAAACCCCGGCTTTCTGCTCAGCGGCCTGATTGCTTTGCTCAGCTGGCTCCTACCCGTCTCCTGTACCAGCCCAAGCAAGAATGGAAGCCCCGTGAGGGCAGGGGCCTGTTCTGGCATCATCGTGTCCCCAGGGCACCCAGTCTGGGCCTGTGCTTATAAAGTATTTGTGCGGCGCACACCTGAATGGCCCCAGGGGTCCCACTCCTGGGACTGCTGCAGAGAAAACACTCAACATTGCCCACCTCGAGCGATCACTCACGCTAGCTAGGGCTGTGTGCCTGCTTACGAGAGTTGAGGTCCGACGGACAGGGGACGGATGTGTTATAGGGCAAAAAATAAAACGCCGACAGTAAGATCTAGGGAGCAGGTGTTATGGATGTTGCCTGTAAAATGCGGGTTTTCTGAATGTTTGAAAGTGTTCATAAATAAGATGTTGGATGGGGGAGTATTTGAGGGCCCCTCTGTGGCCTGGGAAGGGAGGAGGAGGGGCTGCCGTATGGGACATGTCATATTTCCCGAGTGCCTGCTGTGGGCTGAGCGCTGTCTGGGCGCTGGGTTTTGGCGAAGTGGTTTTCCAACTGGCCCACATCTGTATTATGGCAGCACTGGTTGTCGAAATCTGAAATATTTCTGTGCCACTCGGTAAACAGCTGTCAGTTTGGGGCCTCCCTTACACCCCTGCCCTCCCTGCCAAGACACATCGGCCTCCCTCCTGGGATCCCCAGATCTCCCCACTGTCCGGTGACTAAAGAATTAACACCTGGCACGGCCAGGGGCCTTGGGTCGGTTCTGATCGGTCAGGGTTTAGGCTATATTGGTTGTAAATATGTTGAATATTACCCCTGGGTTGGAGCAACCTTGAGCCTTATCTCCCTCCCTGCCAGGGGCCAGACCATGGCTTGCTGGCCTCGCGTATCCTGAAGATGGCTCAGCTGGAGGACGAGGCCCCTGCAGGCCCCATCAATGCGGAGAGGTGAGGGCTGCTGGGGCTGGGGTCTCCCCACTCCTGCCCCTGGATTCAGAAGCCCCTTCCACCCAATGTGCACCCCCCATATAGACCCCGAATCCCGTCTCATCCCTGGGCTACCCCTTCCTGCGCCTTTGACCCCGCCTTACCGTCCAACTGCGAACCTCTAACCCCTGGTCTCCTGGACCCTGCATGTCCCAGACCGATTCTGTCACAGGTGAATGGAGTGGGTGAGACCCCCGTAGGGGTCCTGGGGACCCCAGAGCCACTGCTTCGCCTGTGGAGGACGTCGGGGGTGTGGCAGGTCCCAGAGCTGGACACACAGGGTGCAGAAGCCCTTCTTGAGCTGTGGCCACCAGGGGTGAGTACTCACAGCCAGGGACTTTCTCTGACCTTCCCCATGTGGCCGTGGATCAGCCCGGACTCTGCCAGTTCCCTGTGACCGACAACATAAACCAGGTAAACCAAAAAGGCCACCAACTGAGTCAAATAACTGAAACACCCAGAAGTAAAGGGAATTTCAGGAATGCCTGGATCTTGAGCATGAGGGAACTTGTCCATTTCTCCCCATCCCATTTCTTGGCTTTGCTTCAGCTGTAGGGAAAGCCCAATGTTTGGGGCTTCGAGGAACGGGCAGGCGTTCTACGGTCGCTTAGGCAAACGGGCATTTATCTTTGTAAGACATTCTGAAAGGCAGCCTGGGCTCTAGCTCAGTAGCTCTAGTGACGTCAAGGCCTGCTTCTCTGCCATTCTCTTGGATTCCCTTCACGGTTGCCCGGTGGCTGCCCCAGGTCCAAGCACATGTGTGTGCTCCAGGCAGGAGGAAGAAAAAGAAGCACCAGTTGCACCAGGAAAACCAAAAGCCTTCGCAATCGATTCCATATATATGGATGGGGCCGCGGTGGCAATATTTTTTAAAGCTCACCTGGGATGGGGATCCCTGGGTGGCTCAGTCGTTTAGCGCCTGCCTTCGGCCCAGGGTCTGATCCTGGAGTCCCGGGATCGAGTCCCTCATTGGGCTCCCTGCATGGAGCCTACTTCTCCCTCTGCCTGTGTCTCTGCCTCTCTCTCTCTCTGTGTGTGTCTCTCATGAATAAATAAATAAAATCTTTTAAAAAAATAGTAAAGTTCACCTGGGAGTCATAAAAGCCAGAGGTGAGAAACACCGCCCACCTACATCATCATCCGTCTTCTCCAACTGGGCAGATTATGCTCGGGACAAAGCTACAGTCCTGCAAGGAATAGGGGGTAGACTTGGATAAGGCCACCTGCTAGTGGGTCTACGCAGCTTCCTTCTCCAGGGGGCTTTGTCCTTGTGGTGGCAGAGATGTGTGTTCCCAGCTCACTGCCATATCCCTCAAGCTTAGCAAAGCCAGTATAAATAGAGGCCTCCTTCCAAAGAAAGAGGAACCAAAAATCTTGTGGAAGATTTCCATTGGCTGGGTTTGATTCACATGCCCACCTCTGAACCAATCACAGTGAGAAAGTACTGTCACCCTATTGGCTAAGTCAGGTCATGGGACCAACCCTAGGGCTTGAGGGGAGTTAGTCCCACCCACAGGAACCAAGGGAGGGAGCAGATTTCTTTAAAGGAAGTTTGGGGTGTGGAATCCAAAGTAAGGGAAATGGATGCTGGGCAGGCCAAAGTAACAGAGATTTGTACAGATCCTCTTCAAGATGATCTTTGCTTCAGGGCGCCTGGCTGGCTCAGAGTGGAGGATTCTTGGCCTTGGGGTTGTGAGTTTGGGCCCCATATTGGGTGTAGAGATTACTTAAATAAATAAAACTTAAAAAAAAAAAAAGCTGACCTTTGCTACCCTCGCCACCCCACCCCCTAGAGTTTCCTAGTCACAGGATACGACCCTAGCCAGGTTCTGGTGTTGAGGACAGGAGCTTCGCGAGGAGAAGTCCGCACCTACCAGATCCAGAAGCTTCCTGGAGGTGAGGAGCCTACCCCCAGTTTCCAGCCCACAGCAAATTTAGTCAGCTTTGCTTCCAAAATATCTCCCAAGTGCTATTTGGTGCCATAAGTGGGATGTAGACATAAAGACACTGGAAAAGATGGGGACTCTAAGGGGTAGAAATTTCCCTGTGTTGAAGATCCTTTGGGGGATTGCAGGACCGAGGAAGAGACTCCCACCCCTCACCTTTTCTTCCTCGCCCCTTGTTTCCCTCCACCCCCAGGTGTGTCCCTGAAATACTCTAACCTCTGCATGCCGGACCTGCCCCATCTCCTGGCCTTCCTTTCAGCCAGCAGGTACAGGTCACCCGTCAAAAGGGCTAAGGGGGATCCATCCCTAAGACATCCCACCCACACCACAGCTCACCCTTATCTTTTCTCAGGGATGTTTTGCCCAGAACTCTGCTCTTGCCCCCTCCCACTCTAAGGCCTGGAGACCAACATGCAGGTGAGGGGTGGCTCCCTAAGGGAGGGGGAAGCCACTTTCCGGGTTGCTTGGTCTGGGAGGATGGCACTTCAGGGAGAGAGCTGTGGGAGGCTTGACCCCTGGGCCTGAGTGACAAAGGGCCGGGGACCAAGCCAGTAATGAGGCTGGGAATTAGGTCTCCTGGTGCCCTGAAGGAACCAGGGGCTGGCTCATTGGACGTCTGGGACGCCTCGGTTATGCTGGTCCCCAGGTCCTCTGCAGATTGGTGGTGTCCAACTCAGCATGTCGGAGAGGGTGCTCTCCGTGGTGAACAAGCTATACGTGGAGACCCACAGAGGGTGGAGGACGGAGCAGATGCCGCCAGAGACACCTCCAGAAACTGCAGAAAGACACAGATCAGGTTAGCTGGGTGGGACAGGGCCCTGGGCCCCTGAGGGATGAGGGAGCCACTACCACTGTTCTGTGGGGCCAACTGTCTCCTCACATCCAGCCCCCAGGAACCCTGCCCCTCACAGGGTCTCGTGGGTTGAAGGCCCACTCAGCCCAGAGGTGCACCATGCTGGGCCAGCTCTGGCCAGCCTGGTGGAGGAGACAGAGAAGGAGGACAAGGATGAGAACGAGGACGAAAATGAGGACGACTTCAGAGATGAAGAGAACGAACCGGAGGACGTGCTCACCCATCACATCCAGGCCCTGGCCAGGGCCCGGGGCAGCTACGTGGGCAGGCAGTTCCAGGGCCTGAGGGCGCGTCTCACCTCAAATACCAGAGGCCCCCACAGGCCTGGGGACCCAGCCACAGAGCTGCTTCAGGATGTGCGGCACCTCCTTACTGACCTCCAGGATCACTTATCAAAGGACCCCGACGTCAGGGCTGTTTTTGGGAGCCTGGGGCCTAGGACCCCCCAGAAGGACGACGGTCTTGGTAATAAGGAGGACTGGGAGGGAATTTATGGCCATTCCCTGAACCCACTCGGGTTCTCCTTTGCCATCTCTTGGCGCTACGTGTGTGTCCGCAGCCAACTTCTTTCTCTCGGTCTCTGTGCGCCTGTTGGCTTGTCCACTCGCACACCTTTGCCTCCATATAGGAGATCCTGTTCCGCTCACTCTGCTCATCTCACACGTCC